CGCGCGCGCGCACGCACGCGCACGCGCACGCGCACGCGCACGCGCACACGCACACGCACACGCACACGCACACGCACACGCACACGCACCTGCACACGCACGCGCACGCGCACACAAACACGCAAACACGCAAACACGCAACAAACAAGCAACACACACGCAACACACGTTGGTTTCTTAAAAAAAAAACCTTAAAAGAAGGAACCACAACATAAAGACCCGCCCCCCCCAAAAAAAAAGGGAAGAGAAAAACAAGGATGCGCCCCCGCTCAGGGGGCGTGTGTTTTATCATTGATTTTGGGCCCCTTCAGCTTCGAGTCGTTGGTTTTCCCACAGTTGCGGAGCGCGGGAAAAATTGGTTTTTTTCCCACCTTGTAGCTGCAGCTCTGTTCACTTGCGCGCACAATCTTCCGCATTGTGGTGCCCAACTTGGTAAAGTAATCCGTGTGTCCAAGGAGTGTTCGACACTGCCAGGACCGGATGTAATCCCAGACCTCCATGTTTACCTTCCCACGGTACATGGAGCGCACACTTTTCGGGATCCAGCTTTGAAGCCTTCGCCAGCGCTGGTCCGCTGTCTGGGTTGCAGCAAGTTGCTTCCCCGCTGCGCGAACGAACTGTTGGGCTCGGTGGTTCACATGAACACACTTGAGACCCTTCCTCAACTCTTTGGCCACACAAGGCCATGCACGTGCGCCGTCTGAGTAGACGATGGGATCTAGGAGCCAGCTTGTCAAGGATACGGAGTTGCCGCACGTCTGCGGCGCTTTCAGCACCAGCTGCGCGGCAACGGCAGCCTCTGCAAAGGGTGGCTGTTCGGCTTCTGCCTCAAGCTCTACTCGGCGGGGCCTCTGTGGCCGCACAAGATTGCAAAGGTCCACAGTGCCCTGCAACTCAACAAAGAGCTCTCTGACTCAGGCGGGATCCATGTTCCGCGAGATGATTGGGCTTCACTACTTTCACACATGATGCCAAAACACTGCACATGACACAGAATCACGCACCATGCAAGAATCATGACCATGGAAGGTGTCATTCCAGAATCATGACCATGCAAGATATCATCCCCGAACCCCCCCCCAAAACCCCCCCCCCCCGAAAACCATGGGAATTGCACGCCCCCCGAGCGGGCGATACCAAAAACAACAACAACAACCAAAAAAAACGTTTGTTGTACCAACGTGGTTTACTTCACAAAACCAACCGCTTTGTTTGGACACAGCCAACACAAGCACTTCTGTTCTCCATTCTTTCCAGGAATCAACCCCCTAGAAACCCAGAGAAACAGCTGGTTTTTGAAAAGATGTATGTTTGAACAGGACTGGTTGGAATCAACCCCTCCTGGACCTTCAGACGCTTCTTCTTTTTCAGGAGGATGAAGGTGCCAGGCTCTGGATTTCTGGCCTTCGGACACGCCCAGCATCCCCCAAACCCAGGGACACACCCTATTAAACTGTGGTCGAGTTACTCAATGATGAATTTCACCCCACAAACGGTGGTCAAGGTTTCACTATTTGCTGTTGGTGTTGTTGGGCTGGTGAACTGTCTTGGTGGCTCCCAGCCATCCGGTTCCTTAGCTTTTTCGCCTAGTGTTTAGTGGTAGTTTCCGTATTTGACCCACTCAAAGTGAGTCACTTTTCGTGGAGGATCCGCAAACAGACAGCCCAGTTCCTGGAGTCTCAAAGACCCTTTCAAAATGGTTGGTCATGACCCCTCTATTTGGCTGTGGCTCCAGAAAGTGGAATCCCAAAATGGCACCTTAATTGGTAATGGACCCAACAACTAAAACCCCGCAGTTTGCCCCCCAGCTCAGCTAATGACATTCTTAAAAATGGTCCTGACCGGAGACTCCAGGTTCCTAGACCCCCAAAAGACCGATGTTTCCATTTTTCCGGCGTAAAGTACCACTGCTTTCTGGGTCAAAGGCACTTTTTTCTGTATCATTTTGTTTGGTCTTTTGGGGCTCCAGGTTCAATTGACCCATGGCTCTTCTGTCAATATTTGTGTCAGGTTCTGAAAAAAACTATAGGTAACCTGGGACATATGGCCGTTGTTTTTTAGGTCATACGCCTTCCGAAAAACCGTTCGACTCCCCAGCCCGGATCCCCGGATCTCTGGCCTCGATCGAGCACAGGAGCTCGAGGCGGCCTGCCGCTGGGCCTGCCGCGCCGGCCGGCTGGAGCCCGCCTGCCGCTCTGCCGAGCACCGGCGTCTTCCAAGGGCGGTGGGGGGGGGGGGGGATGAGGGGGGGATGGGCTGTGGGGGGGATGGGGTGTGGGGGGGATGGGGTGGGGTGAGGGGGGGGTGAGGGGGGGGATGGGGTGTGGGGGGGATGGGGTGGGGGGCTCCTTCCGTTTTTTTTTTTGGGGGTTTTTTTGATTGAGGGGGGCGAGGATGTTTCCAACTTGGGGCTATTGGTTTGTAAGAATCACATTTTCATTTGTTCCCCGAAGAACAAGAGTATGTGTTCCCCCTATTTGGCGTTTCGCTGGCACTGCAAGTCAAGCCATGATTTTTGAGCCACAACAGATCCGCTGTAGTATAGTGGTTAGTATTCCGCCTGTCACGCGGAAGGCCCCAAAGTCCAACTTAAGCATGGGTAGCCCCCAATGTAGGGTTGGTGAATTCCCTTTTTAGGGGTAGCTTTTGAGGGTTTAGGCATATGTGTGCATATTCCCCTTGCGGCAATTGCACATTTGGGATGGTCGAACTGCCCCCGCGGTGCAAACTACTGACCTGCTTGGGGAAGGGAACTGTTGTCATTTTTCCAACAACTTATAAGCCCGCAAGATCACCTTTTTGAAGTCTGGCTTCTCCTTGGGTGAATTGGACAGTATATACTTTGGTGCATTTTGCAGGACTTTCGCTTTTTGCCAACTTTAATGGGTTTTCCGTATTAAACAACTAAAAGTTAGTCACTTTTAGCAGGGGAGCAGATTTCGCAACCGAGTATATGGGTGTGTCTCTGTTTAGGCGACTCCCCCAACTAGAATTCTGTTTTCCTTTTGGTTTTCCTTGGCAGCCACCTCAAAACAGGATGTGCCACCCATCTGGGCTGCCCTCAGATCCCCTGCTAAAAGTTTCAGGCATCTGTATCTAGGATGGATTTTGACCGGGTCTTCCCTTCCATTTGCTGAAATGTGTTTTTTTCCCCTTGTTGGTTTTAAAGGGAAATTATTACTACTGGACACATGTTTAGTTTTTGTCCAGGGGCGAAAAAGCAAATGGAAGATACCCTTAGGGGTTGAAGGAGAACCAAAGGACGCCATGTCTCTATTTTGACCCATACCCATGTTGCAACCTCTAGTTGTTTTCTTGAAAATAAACCCTAAACGAATGGGACCTCGCAAAACATGCTTGGTCCCACTGCAAGTTGTCCCAGACAAAAGGACCATCATTTGCAGTGGGTTCTGAAGCCACACATTGGGTGTGTGGTTCGGAAGGTCTGGTTCGCATGGTCCCAAACTTGTGCAACCAAACTGGCCCCGTATTCCAAACTGGTCAACCACAGAATACTCACCAAGGAGTGTTTGGTCCAACCTGATTTGGTCCATATGTCGTCGACCAGCCGCTCCTTGCGGCTGAGCGGGGAGCGTCATCTCAGGCCAGCTGCGCAGGCCGGGGTCTGAAGCGCTCGGGGTCATCTTGGCGGAGGAGAGGCGAGGTTGGGGGGGGAGGAAGTGGGGGGGGGAGGGAGGAGGGAGGAGGGGGTGAAAAACCAGCGTCTTTACACCCCAAGCTGGGTGATCATTTTGGTTTGCTTGAATTTTTCCAGACACCCCCTATTTAGTACCCAGTACGTGTTCCCATATCAAGGACCATTCCTTCTACTGATTTCCTTTGTGGGTAGAAGGATCATATTTTCTGGAGAGGGCGCAGGCACATTTTCCCAATTGGGGGCAGGAGCAAAGTGCCGCCGAAAGAAAGGCGGTGTCAGAATCAGTCAACGCGTCACAACCAACACCACAACCCCAGAATTAGCTCCCCTTTTTTTGGGGGGGCTTTTTGGGGGTCCCTTTGTTGTCCACTAACCAGGCAACAAAGATATGTTTTTGCCGGGGTCCTAATTCCAGCCTAGACAAAACCCAAAAGGTGTCAAGGTCACTAGATGGAACCGACACATTGGACCCAAAATCAACCACTAGCTCCTGCCACCAACATCCGCCACGGCCACTTGCAAGTAAAGGAGCTTCAACCCCACGACCGGTCTTTCTCTCCGGTATTTCAGGTGGACATCTTTCAAGAATATGAGCCCGACGGGCCGGGAATTGGGTTGATTTGGCAATGGCCGTGGCTGCTGAACGATTTTTCCAGTAAGACTCAGATCAAAACTCGATCGCATCAAAACTTTGCAACGCAGGTCTCAACCCTTGGAAGACTAGTAATGGTGACAACTGATTAGTAAACCCCCCCCCCTCCCCCCCCACCCTTCAAGGTCCACAAGGTTTGGACAAGTCCCAAGAATTGAGATTTTTGGGAGGACCCCCCTGATTACTCTGGAGCCCCTTCGGTCCTCGTCCTCTTACTTCTGGTCCCTTCGGGTCAGTAGGACTTTAAAAGGCAACAGCACATTTTTTTGGTTTTGAGCCCAAAAGGACCCTGATTAATCGCGGGGGGTTTCCTGTTAATGAGGGGGGACTTGCCTCCAAGGGGGGTCCCCTTTGTGAGCTTGAAAACCTTGTCTTTTTAAACAAATTTTAATAAAGACAAATGCATTTCGGGGGAAGCACATTTTTGGCAAAAACTTGAGGGGTTCAATAGTGACTTAGTATTGGTGGGTTTAAGCACAGACTAAGCAAATACTAAGCAAGAAGGTTTTTGTTGGCTTGGGGGCTGCAGAGGGATACCTTTAATCAGGGGGGGTTTTGGGGAGGGCCCAACAATAATTGGGTAGGTTTTTTTTGGGGAAACCTTGTTGGCAATTTAGTTTAGTATTGGTGAGAATCTGGGGGGGAAAAGGGGGAACCTTTAATCGGGGGGGGGTTTACTAATCGTCTCCTGACATTAGGTACATTGCACTTGTTTCGGACTTGTTGCTTTGGGTGTGTCTTTTTTTGTACCATGTTGGGGGTTTCAAGGCACACCAAGGCAAAATCACCCATTTCTTTCGGCGTGGGTTCCCAAAGCTGCACTCCATTCGAACAAGTTGGCAGCCGTGCCTTCCTAGAGTCCTAGAGTCTTCATGACTCTTTAAAAATGGTTGGTCATTGCCCAGAATAATGGCGCCATGGACCCTTTTTTGCAGGGTGGCGATTCCAGGCGTGCATTTGTTGGATGTGTCCAGCTTCGCACTGCCCATGAACTGTCGCATTCGCTGGCGCGCATCAGAGAGCCACTGCGCATCTTGTGTAGTTGTACCCTGGTGAAGAGAAATACAGTGTGCGGGTGGAGGGAGGGGAGGCGAGCATCAATGATTATGAATCGTACAAGCTTACGCGACCTTTGTGGATTATTCGGTTGTATCACATTTGCTGCGCTGAAACAGTCTTTTTGAGATGGGGTGAAGATATGTCTTTTCGAAGAAGGGTTTTTCCTTGGCCAACCATTAACCATTGCGACCTTCAAAGCTATTTTGCGAGATTTCCTATTTTTCAGACACAAATTTGGGAGGGCCATGTTATGCTGCTTAAGCCGCCACGGGTTATACAGTGAAACACTTTTGGGTATTTGTTGTTCGAAACAACCTCCCTTGGTCAAGGGGAGTGTTATCATTTGCAAACGAAATGCGGGGTGTGGCCGGGCCAAGAAGCAGACTTTGTGTTTCTGAGTCCAGGGTTATGTGAGCTGACAATGCCAGATGTGGGTACCCTCCAAAAATGGAGGCCTTCGCGGAAAGCGATCGTTGATATGCCGGCTCGGCAACGCTGAGGGTACAATTGTTGGGCCGTTTCGTGAGACTGCCGTTTTTTTTTTTTTTTTCCGCCGGTTTTTTCGGCGATTTTCGCAGAAGGAGCTAAGATGTGTACCCTTCAGGGTGGTCCAGGTAGAGGTATACATGTTATTGTTGAGAGTTGTACGTTTTGCTTTTCATGGGTTCAACAGTTTTACTTGTTGCTTGTTTTTGCTTAAACTTGGGACAAGTTAAACAGGGTGAATTCCAGAAGGAAAAAGGGGCCAATGAAAACTGTTAAACATGAACAACAACTATGCATTTGTCCATTGTCATGTTCAATGTTGCTTGAATCATGCAAGTAATTTGGTCAATTGTTCACGCATATCTTACTTGCCAGAAGTAGACAAGTAATGCATTTTGTGGCCTGTTGTTTGAGTCTACCAAAGAACACAAAGCTGTTTTTTTGGGGTACATATATATACACATACATACATATATATATATACATACCCCCTACTCCAAATACCCACTTGTTCTAAGTTTTTTTTGGAAAACCTGGTTTTTTCAAGGTAAATACCTCCGTGTTTAGTAGAGGGTCGACAAATCATACCCTCAAAAAAGTATTTGGAGTAGGGGGTATATACCATATATATATATATGTATGTATCTATGATCGAGCGAACCCGTTGGGTGTCGGGTGCTCCATCTTGGAGCTTCGGACCAGCGCTTCCAATGTTCTGACTGCTTCGTGGCTGGTGGACCTGCGTTTCCATGTCAAGGGGTGAGGGGGACTCCCAAAACGGAGAGCTTTCTTTTGACTTGATGGCTCCCCGCCATCCGGCTCCCTAGCTTTTTAGCCTAGTGTTTAGTGGTAGTTTCCATTTGAGCCGCTGAAAGAAACACTTTTAGCGGGGGATCAGAAAACGGGCAGCCCAGTTGGCTTTCGGTGCAACACCCTAGGGAAACCCACCAAAAGGCGCAACACCCGTTTGATTCGTCAAAAAAAAAAAGTCTAGCCGACAGGTCCGGCGAAATGACTGAGTATTGGCAGAGGCTGGCAGAGGCAGGGCCTATGCGTTCGTGAACCTAGGGAGTCCCTTAGAGGAAACCATAGGATGGCCGGTTTAAATCGGGGTCATTCCATTTCTCATTCCCTGCCTATCGCACCAGCAAGTATAATGAGTAGGCAACCAAGGGAACGGTGGACCCAGAATTAGCTTCCCCCCTTCTTTGTTCTTTCTTTTTTGGGGGTCCCTTTGTGTTCCACTAACCAGGCAAAAAAGATCTCATTTTTTGCTGGGGTCCTCATTCCAGCCTAGAATGGTGGACCCTCTTCGGTTTGGCATTGAAAGGGAAGCCAAAAGGAGAAGCACCATTTTTCTTGGCTCCCAGCCATCCGGTTCCTTAGCTTCTTAGCCTTTTACTGTTTAGTGGTAGTTTCCATTTAACCCACTAAAAGTTAGTCACAGTTTCGGGGCAGCCCAGTTTTGGGGCGACACCGCTGTTTGAGTTTTGCTGATGGCTGAGAGCCAGGGTTGGGCAAAATGAAAGTGCGCTTAAAACAGCCAAACCCGATATCCTGCTTCAAATGGGACAAACACAAACGGAGGTTGTTGAAGTAACGGTGGAGGCCCAACCCTGCTGATAACACCTTCTGTTTTCAGCGT